TAGAGGACTATAAAACTTCAGGACTGGGGCTGCCTAGTGGCTAACATAACCTACGGAAAAAGACTCAACCTCACCCCTTACTAGGACCTGTCACAACATCGAGAGGACAGGTGAGGTCCCAACAGCTGTCTGGGGCGGGGGTCACATGGAAACCCTGGGATCAGAACAGCACCATCTCTAACAGCAGTGCGGTGCCGAAAACGGGGTGTCTCCGTGGTTCTGAGCACAGCGATTTCATCAGGGACCTGTACCCAGCTGCGAGTCAGCCGGGAGGGAGGGAGGGCTGCCGGGGTTTCAGACGTGCACAGCCCACAGCGGCCCCCCACCCCTGCTCGGTTGGTCAGTAGAGGGTGCGCTCCACCCGAGTCAGCACCTGGGCCAGAACCAGAGAAGGCTGCACTGGGGACGCAGGGTTCTCCGGGGACGGTGGAGGGGACGGTGGAGGGCGAGCGGGGTGCAGGCCCTCCGGAGAGCGGATGACGCGGCAGGCTGGCCCCGTGGGCTGTTTTACCTTTGATAGACAGTGTGGCGACCAGTCGGTAACAGAGAGGACTAGGTGAGCAGAACAGAAAAAGTCAACGACTGCCTCCAGGGCGGCTTCGACCCCAGTTCGCGTCTAGCTGAGTTGTGAGCCGTGTTGACGGAAATGCCAGTTCAGGCAGGAACGTGTTCGGGAGCGCGCCCGGAGGGTGTGCGTGCATGCGCGTGCGTGTGAGGGGCGGGGCCCCAGCCGAATCTTCGTCTTTCGAGGCTGGCAGCGCTGACGGCGAATGGCATGAGCCTGTTCCTGAGAAAGGCTGGGCGGGTTTGCAAAAGCAGAAGCTAAGAGAGCTTCCTCTGTGGAGCAGGACCCGAGGGCGGGGGAGGGGGGCCTGGGCAGGAAACTGTGGTTTTTGGGCTCAGGCCGTAGGTGCCGTTCTTTTCATAGGGTGTTGCTGTGTTGTTTTGCTTAAAGGCAAACCCAGGCACAAGCAGTGAGAGACCACGGTCGGGGGGCGGGGGGTAGCAGGGTCAGGTTAAGGGGGGGGCTTGAGACCGGGACGAGGAGCTGAGGCTCGGTTGGCAGATGAAGCTGTGGCTCCCAGCGTCCCCACTCCGTGCAGCCCCCGCCTGCTGTCTGCTGGAGGTTGATAGGGCAATGAGGGCCTGGCGTTGGCCCCCGCCCCGTGGCTGCGGGTTGGCTGAACCCCTTGCCGGAGCTGGTGGGTCCGGCCTCCCCTGCCAGCCCCCTTGTCCTGCAGGCTGCCCCCTCCGGCCAGGCCTGGGGCTCGGTCACTGCTGTTGGCCTCCCCAAACCTGTCCTCGCTTTTGTAGACGATCCCTGTCCTGACTGCGCAGACCCACTTTGAGTGCATGTTGCTCCTTGGGGTGATGATGGCCAAGGGGTCGTGCTGAGAACGCCTTCCCCATATGTCGAGTGTGTTCCTATCAGTTTTCTTCTTGTGTCGCCGCAAAGCGCCGCGAGTCTGCGCATTGGGGCGAAGGGGTAAGGCATGGCGCTAACTGAAAATGAAAACTGTCTTGAGTCAGACACCTGCCTCCGAGGGGCGTTGTGTGGGACTCCGTGTGAACCGCTGTGGTGCCCCCGGATCCCTCGGATCTGGCACAGGCTGGGCCAGCACCTGTCTGGTCCTGCCCGTCAGGCGCCGCTTTGAGACCTGGAGCCTGAGCTGGCCTGTGATTCACCGCTGCTTTTCCTGGTGACGTCAGAGTGTCCGTCGGACCTCTCTGCACAGCCTCCCCTTGAGCAGCTCCCTTCCCTTCCCTGTGCTCCGGGGCCTGGGCTGCTGGGCGGCCCGCTCTGTGCCTGGTGGCTGATGTCACTCTGAGTGGCACCCACTCCCAGACTCAGAAAGGCCCACATGTGGGTGACGGGCTACCCTGTCACTGCCCTGCAGGCAAGTCGAGCACACAGTGCGGCATGTGGGTTTCTCCGGGCAGGGGCAGAGACCCCGCCGTTCGCTCCTCACCCCCATTTCAGGCGAGCAGGGTGGTGTGGCGCTTGCTCTGGCACAGCGGAACTCACACCACAGACAGCGGCTTGGGCCAGGTGTGCCCACCCCGCTCCCAGGTTCAAGGCCTCAGCAGCAGCTCTTCTGCCAGCGGCTTATGGGAGCTGGACAGGGACCTGTCCTGAAGGCTGGCGGGGTCTGTAGAGTGGCCCACCATGCACAGATAGGAAGGGTGGCCAGGTGACATTCAGGGCCCCTGCTGTGAGCATGCGACCTGGGCATTGTGGCAGGGACGCAGCAGTGAGGAAGAGGGAGTGGGCGGAGACTGGCACATGGAGGGGGCTAGGGCCTGTTCCTGAAGCCACGAGGCCCCCCACCCAGATTGGGCCCGCGGGCTCTTCCACGACCCTTTCATCCCTGATGTGGACTCCATGGCAAGGCCTGGGCTCTGCCTTAAAGTGAACGATGCTGGAGCCCAGCCACTCCTGGCTCAGGGCGCCCGCCCTCCTGCCCACAGCCTGCTCCCCTCAGCAGCTGGGAAAGTGTGAGCCTCCACTCGGGGCCAGACCCTGGCAGCCACGACCCCGCTCATGCACCGTGGAAACCAGCATCCTTAAAAGAGTCTCCGAGGCCCCAGTTGGCCCTCCCCATCCTCCTTACTCACCCCTCCACCTCACCGGGTCGCCACTGTGCCGGCCACGCGTCCTCGGGAGCCTGTCCCTGACCATACCACCCCACCCTGCCCCCGGGTGGCCTCCATCATCCGACAGCCTAGCCCGTGCGTTTGCCTTTTGCTCCCCTGCCCTCCCAGCTCCCGACGGCGCGTACACGCCTTGAGGGCAGTGCGGGTCCCTGCCATGTCTCTGGGACTCGGTGCCCAGGGTGCCCGAGAAGGCTGATTGAAGCCAGCGAGGGCAAGACTGGGCATTTGACCAGAATGTCCCCACTTCTCTGAGACGAGAGGCGGCAGGACTGACACTGACGTGAGTGGCAGGTTGTGAGAGAAGCGCTTGCAGCACAGGCAGCAGGAGTGCCCAAGTCAGTGAGGAGGTGACCGGCCGGAAACCGGGCGAAGGACGTGGACGAGCGGTTCACAAGGGGGAGACACCTCTCCTTTCATTTACGGAAAGACCCTCGGCAGCTCGCCCATCAGGCTGTGCGAACTTGGGGCAGTGAGAAGCCATCGTCCCCACACTGCGGCAGGAGCAGCGGGCCTCCCGTGGGGATGGGCCTCGGGCAGCGTCTGCCGGAGCTCCAGGCGGAGCAGCTGCCTGTGGCGTCCGCCACACAAACGCTCTGCCCCTTGCCAGTCCGAAGGCAGAGGCAGTGACCTTGGAGGCCAGCCCTGGTGTCGGAGGGCAGAAATGCTGATGTGGGAATTGTTAAACCTCGGTGTGGAGACGCAGCAGGATGAGGCTGCTCCTGGGACCCTCCGTGGAGGGAGGACGGGGGAGGAAGCATAACTGTGACATGGACATACGACAAAAGAGCCAGGTTTATGTTAGTCCCTCCGCAAAGCAGGGTGGCTTTAGAAAACACTGGGGTGGGCAGAAGGAGGCGCACGGTTGTAATACAAGTAAATCGTAACACAAGAACACACTCGGTTCTGCGTGCTCACAGCTGCAACCCTCCTCTGCCCACCCTGTACAGGCCAGTACATTTATTGTCTGGCAAGGAGGAAAAGGGCGGGTCAAGTCCATGCCCTTGAGGTACCCGTGGCCCCTTCAGAGGGCGACTGAAGGTGGTGCTCCGGGGTCTTGCTGCAGATCTGCTGTTTCTGCTACAGTGAGGACCTGCGACAGCTGGCGGGAATGCAGCCCAGGACTGCGGGTTCAGGCCCCCACAGGCCTGCTGCAGGAGTTGGCACTGCAACCAGGACCGTGGGGCGGGGCCCCTGGGGCACAGGCCCTGCAGCCAGACACAGGGTCGAATGCCAGGCCAGCTCTTTGGTGTCCCCGAGTCTCAGCATCCTCATCTGGGAAGGGGGCTGGAGGTAGTGACACTCGCCCCGTGGGCTGCTGTCCGGGTTGCCGAGCTGGGCCAGGCCAGGCCAACCAAGGGAGCGGCACCGGAGGGCTTTCAACATGGCGGGGCCGCCGCGGGCTGTTCCTGCTGAGTGGCCGCGTGGGAAGCTGCGTGGAGGCCCAGCAGTTCTGCTTCTGGGGTGTCTGCTAAGGAAGCGATCAGAGACGAGACTGGTGGAGAGTCCGAGCCGCTCCCGAGGCTCACAGCGGGGGAGGCTGGAACGCCACGTCCTCATCCTGATTCGTGAGCAGTGCCGGACGGCAGGTGCTCCCGACGGGTGGCAGTAGCCGGCTGGGAAGCAGCGTGGGAAACAGCCAGTGCTCCCTCTGTGCATACATACGTGTGTGTGTCTGTGTACTGATCCTGAGATAAGTCTATGTAGTGAGAGGAATGCGTCTCATAATCGTACGTGAGCGATGTGGGAGACAGAATGTAAACACACGGAAAGGCTAGGAGAACCGGTTGTCCGGGTGCAGGTGAGGGTGCCCCTGGTCGCTGTTGCCTGATCTCCACATCACGTGTGTGTAAGGAGACTGCAGAGGAAGCGCACGGCGGGGGGGGGGGCACACGAGACAGGAGAGTGGGGGCGAAGCTGGACCCACGTCGGGAGTGTGGCCCTCGGGCTTTCCTCTGTCTGTAAGGTGCGCCTTCTGCCTTTCGCCCGTGACCTCGTCACTCTGATCTGGGGATTACGGTTTCTTAGTCATTCTTGGGGAGTGTGCTGTGTCGCCTCGTGGGGAGGACAGGGGTTTTCCAAGACTCCATTCTGAGAAGGAACCCGGAGAGTGGAGACAGGCCAGCCAGCTGTGCCTGCTGCTGTGGTCGCATCTGAGGAAGCCCGGAGCGCGGAGCGTGGCTGGGAGCCGCTGGTCGCTGGCCCAGGGAGGGGGCTGTGTGACACCTGGGGAACCTGCTCGAGCTTGACTGCAGGGAACTGGGTGGTGGCTGTGAACCGAGCGACAGGTGACGCTGCAGGAGGCCGGCGGCTGATTGGTGCAGGCGAGCCACCGAGACTTCCTGGGTTGGGGAGGCGGCCAGAGGAGGCAGCAGAAGGTGTCCCGCCACCCGGCCCTGCCTCCCAGGCAGCCTCACCCAGCCCCCTTGGAAGAGCTGACGGACAGGCTTCGGGGCCCTGCCGTGACCGTGACCCGGGGAAAGATGGTCCTCAAAACTGAAGAGGAGGAGGGTGAGTCCAGTCGTGGCCTGGGTGTGCGGGCTGGGGTTTCCGTATCTCTCACAGTCAGTGCTCGAGCCCCTGTGCCCATGGCTTCTCTGCCTTTTGGGAGAAGTAACAGCCTGCTCTGTGTCTCGCTGTTCTCCGGAGGACTGAGGTCGTGTGTGTGTGTGTGTGTGTGTGTGTGTGTGTGTGTGTGTGTGTGTGAGAGAGAGAGAGAGAGAGAGAGCACCAAGGAAGCCCCTGCCCCGGACGCTCCTCGGTGCTCTGCCTCGGCGACTGCGCCCAAGTGGCAGTTGTCAGAAGCTCTGGGAGCCGCACGTCTGTGCAGAGAGGGTGTGGCGTGAACAGGGAGACGTTAGAGGCCGGGTCGAGAGCACTGTGAGGCCCGGGATGGTGGATGTCCGTTTCCTGAGGCAGAGAGGCACAAAGGGAGCCTGCGTAGTAGCCGGATCAGGGCCTTTGGAGGAGGCGGAGACCGTCTGAACCGCCCCGCCCCCGCCCCCGCCCCCGCCCCCACAGGGAAACAGTGACGCTGTGACTGAAAGGGTGACAAGCCCCGTGGCTCACAAACCCCGAAGGTTCTGCAGAAGGGCCACCTGAGGGCACAGGTCTGGGCTTCCCGCCCCGCAGGGGTCATGGGACAAGTGTGGGGGTCACGGTGGTGCCTCTGCCCTGGGCCTGGTGCGGGCGCGGTAGTCAGGACGCCAGGGGCTGGGAGCAGACACCAGGCGCGGCTCGGATGGGCTCTGCGGCCGTCACAGTGGACTCCGGGGTTCTCTCTCTGTTTTTCTGTGGTTCTCGACAAACCACGTTGTGAAGCTGCGCCCACTGTCTCCCCTCCGGACAGTGTGGGATGTGTCTGGGTGACGGCATCTGGGTGACTTGGGGAGCTGCCCCTTGTGTGACAGGCGTCGGCAGGGCCAGGTCCGAGTGTAGGGACCGCACTTGGAGGGCAGCGACCCAGGCAGTTCCAGGCTGAGGTGGGCGTCCACCTGGTGCTGCTGTGCCTGGAAGGTGAGTCCATGCCGTAGTAGCCACGGTCTCGGGTTCAGGTGGGGGCACTCTGGGCCCTGGCCGGCGTGGCTCAGGCGGTTGCAGCATCGTCCAGTGGAGTGCGGAGGTGCAGGTTCGGTCCTGGTCGGGGCGTGTGCGGGAGGCAGCAGGTTGGAGTCCCCTCTCACACTGAGGTGTCTCTCCCTCCCTTCCCCTCTCTGAAATCAGTAACCACGTCCCGGGGTGACGATCAGCGTAATTAATTAATTATTACAGAGTAGAGATGCTTTTGAGAGTGGAAGAGGGCGTTACACACTTGTTACTGATGGTGCTCGGGCAGTGGGCGTTCCCGGCCCAGCCTGGGCGGACAGTGGCCGCTGTCCCTGTGCCCTTGCACGTGAGCCTGGCTCCAGACCCAGCAAGGAGGTGCTGTTTCCGTCATTTCAGAGTGTGACCGGGGGTCCCGTGTGGACTCCCAGATGTTACGTCAGCCTCCGTGTGCACTTGGTTCGGGGATCGGGGTGGTCACCACTTCAGCTGCGATTTGCAGACCTGGGTTTGCGCAGCAGCATTAGCGACGGGCACCTTTGCTTTGACTAAGGCGCTGCCAGGAATGGGCAGGCCATTCTTCTCCCTCCTGGGAGCGTTCGTGCCTGTCGCCCTTCGCCCAGTGCTGAAAGCGATGCCGGCGTGCTGAGGTGAGACTCGGACCTGGTGTTCAGGCCGAGGGGCTGGGACCGTCCTTGGCAGGTGCCCGAGATCCAGCAGGGGGAGGGCTAAGCGTGAGCCGTGCGCTCCACACATAGCAGCTTTTCCTGGATTTGTTCCGGGGGAAGGGGTTAAAGGAGTCAGATCCTCTCCTGCTGCACTTGCCTCTGTCCTTCCCGGGCACTCCCTCGACTGTCACCCCAGGGTCCCCAGGGGTCTGAGTGAGAGCTGGCCCGCTCACTGCCATTGTCACTGCCCTGAGGTGGTTTCAGCTGATCATTCTTCCCTTTTTAACGTTTAGGCCCTTTGATTGGCCTTTGAAACTTGTCTTTGTAGGGGCTCCAAGCTCCTTGCCCCGTGGGCCACTGGGACCTCCTCACAGGCACATGCTGGGCTCTCTTCCGGGTGCTGCCCCCGTCCCTGCACGCCCTGGACCCTGCCCCGACCCAGGCACCCAGCCGCTTCCCAGCCCCCTCGCCTCCCTCGGCTCGTGTGCCCCACCGGTCTCTGCTTCTCCCTCTGGGGCATCTGTTCACCACCTCAAGCCCCGCCCTGCCGGCTCCAGTGGGGGCAGGGCCCCAGCGTTTGAAGCCCAGCCCCCAGCACAGCTGGGCCTGTGCACGTGCTCTGCCAGCCGGCAGCAGCCGCTGTGGCAGTCAGGGGGCTGGACGCACCGGGGACGGCAGCCGGGCCCGGGCTCTGCCTGCTCGCAGTGTGCCCTCAGCACATCATTGGTGCCCACAGTTGGGCTTTGTTGTGAAGTTCTAATAAACGTGGAAATGAAAAACATTTGAAGCTGTAAGCTGCCGTGTGGGTATAAAATAGTGTTATTTACAGGGAGATACTTCAAAGAGAATTAGGGGTCGTGCCTCTCCACCAGGACACTGGGTGTCCGGGTGGCCTCCACAGCACTGTCCCCGTGTTGACCCCCCAGACCCCCTGTTCTGACAGTGTTCTGTGCAGTCCTGCCCACTCACGTGGGCTGGGCTGCTGTGGCCGAGCTGGGTGTTGAAAGGACGGGTCAGGTGCTGCAACCGTGAACTCGTGTTCCCCCAGGTGGTTCCCACGCCCCTTCTGACGGGCTGCGTTTGTGTTCTGCAGACTCCGCAGTGGTGAGGTCTTCGTTCTTAAGCAGGAGCTCCTGGCGCAGGAAGCGCACAGCATGGTGGGGCCGCCGTCTGCTGTGGCGGGTTCTGAAGGGCCCGCGCTCCGTCCGGTCTGACTTCCCCGCTGTCCCGTGCGGCCGGCACCCGTGGTGCTGGACAGAGGACCGGAGCTGCCCCTCCCCCGTGAGGGAGGCGGGCACTGAGAGGCGGGGCCCTGCCCCTTTGCAAGTGCAGAGTTGTCCTGGGCTCTCTGCAGCCTGCCCGCGCTCTCATTACAAGCTGTGGCCGTGGGCAGGGCCAGGAGCCCACCGGGCAGGTGGGTCATGGAGGCGGCAGGACAGCTGTCAGGCTGGCTCTTGGAGAGAGAGGTGGGGTGTTGGCAGGTTCGGGTCCTGTCGGCCACAGCGCATTGCTGCAGCCGGGATGAGGCAGGGGCCACAGACCTGGGCAGGAGACGCCCAGACCTAGGAGACAGGACACCTGCCAGCTGTGGTGGCCCCGCCCTCCCTGTGGGCCTGGAAGGTTCTCAGAAGTGTGTTCATGGAAGCAGCCGACAGCACCTGCCTGCGGTTTGCTGCTGGCTCCTCAGAGGCGGAGCCCAGACTGTCGAGAGCTTGTCTGCAGCGTCTGCTCGTCACATCTCTCTCAAGTGCGACAGCCCTCCAGAGGCACCTTTCCTGACGATACCGTGTCCTCGTCTGCTCAGCGAGACTTCCTTTGTAGACGAGGACCTGTAGGCTTTCCTGTGTGCCTTGGGAAGGGCTTCAGCTTTGGCAGGTTCAGGTGGGCTTCATCTCGCAGCTGGACCCTCCCTAAATGCAGCGTGGTCCCAGACTCGTGGGGCCACAGAGTGTCTTGGGAGTGACCTGGTTGAGCCAGTCGGCTCTGCCAGGGGGCCTTTGGCAGGCTCCCGGAGGCACGTCACACTCAGCCAGGAAGTGAAGTTGAAGCGCACGGTTCAGACGTGATGAGCTCGAGACCTCACATGTTCTCCTGAGCACTTGCTGGACTTGGACGTGCAGACCTAGGGGACACACTGACCAGGGAGGGCGGAGGCAGGACAGTCAGGCCCTGCTGGCCTCCCAGCTACCAGGCTCGGGGTCGCCCAGGAGGCTCCGCCGTCTCCTAAAAGGACTTCCTTGCGTGGGTGGGTGTGCTCCTCCTTGCCCCGCAGAGAAGCCACGGAGGCCTAACTTCTGGCCTGAAAAGACCCCCTGGCTGTTTCTGCATCTCCCTCTTTCCTGGTCCAAGTCTCTGCTCCTTCCTGTCTTCTCTGAGAGTTCAGGGTTCTGACCCACAGGCCCCAGGGGGACCCACACAGGGTGGGCACAGGCCCAGGGACAGAACTCACCTAGGTCCCTTCCACGGTGTTGCGTGGCTGGCGACACGTCTCTGTCTCTGGACGCAGGTTTTTGCTGTGGTTGTGGGTCCTACCACAGCCGCCCCTTGGACAGCGAGCGTGAGGTCGGGGCGCTGGCCCTGCAGGGTCAGAAAGTCCACAAACAACTTCGACTCCTCCCAAATTCGAGTTGCCCCTGTGTACCCAGGGGGATTGGCTCAGGGCCCCCTGCAGATACTGAAACCTGAGGAAGCTCAGGCCCCTGAATGAAACGGTGCAGACCAGTGGGGACAGTCAGCTCTCTGCCCCCACAGACGGACTCCCAGCTGCAGGTCGGAAGCCGTGGGGGCGCCACAGAGAGAAGCCCGCCCACAAGTGGGCCCGCACGGCCCCAGCCGTGTTGTGGAAGGGCTGGGAGTGTGCGGGGGTCCACATGAAGGTCAGAGCCCCCGCTCGCTCCCCTTTTCCAGCGAGGACCGCTGCAGTGGCTCCAGCTGCATCCTCAGAAGCTGGGCCCTGAGCAGCACGGGTGCCCTGCACCTGTCCCCTACCTTCCTGTTGCGACCCCGCGTCTTAGGGATCCTCCCGGTCAGCATGCCCAGGTCACCCCGTTCTTCTCCGGGGCCACGTTGTCCAGGTGGCGCTCAGCGTCTGGGCGCACAGGCTCAGAAGCGGGTCCCTGAGCCCAGGGTCTGCAGTGGCTCCAGTTGGGCTGAGCCCAGCCAGAGTGTCTGGGTCCAGCCTGCAGCCCTGCTGTGGGGACGAGGAGACCCCGGAGCACGGGGTCCGTCGTAGGAGATAGGGCCTCCTCACCGCAGTTTCCTGTGGAGAAGACCGGAAGTCCAGGGAAGGCCATGGTGTTT